CCCACAACAATAGAACCCCACCAGCAACAATAAACTCTGCGGCGGCAACAACAGATCACTCCAGTGACAATAGATTCCCCAGCAGCCAGCATCAATAGACCCTCCAGTAACCCATTCAGTGGTAGAGGTCCCCACTGAAAAAAAGTCCTATGCAGGTTGCGTTTGAGGCGTTTCTGCATTGTGTTTTTTGCACTTGCGTTTTTGACACGTTTTTAATGCATGTTTTTTTTTTTTCATTTTTTTAAATTTTTCTTGTTGCTAGGCAGATTTTAATTGCAAAACGCAGCAAAAACATAGTACATGCTTTTCTGCAGCATTCCCATTGAAATCTATAGAACCAAAAGCATAACGTTTTGCGTTCAAAAAAGTCCCTGAACCCTTTCCAGAAAACGCACCGGGTGAAACCACGGAGATGTGAACCTGTTCCATAGGAAATCATGTTAAATGGACTGTACTGCGTTTCTGCAAAATGAAAAAAAAGCTTAGGTGTGTACCTAGGGCAGTGTTTCTCAACTCCAGTCCTCATGGACCCCCCAACAGGTCATGTTTTCAGGATTTCCATTATTTTGCACAGGTGATTTGATCAGTTTCACTGCCTTAGTAATTACCACAGCTGTTTCATCTGAGGGAAATCCTGAAAACATGACCTGTTGGGGGGCCATGAGGACTGGAGTTGAGAAACACTGACCTAGGGTAAGACTAACCTGGGATTTCACATGTCATGTGACTTGGGGGTCTCCGAAGTCGCAGCAGTGTGAACCGAGCCTAAAAGAACTGAAATCCAGTTAATGAAAATGGCGAGGAAAGAGCTAGCTGATGCTGGGTGTCCTCCAGAACTGAAATCTGATGAATGTATGGGGTGAGCCAGGGACAGTCAGGCTGTGGAGGAAATGGGTTAATAGTTTATTTTTTATTACATAGTATGTATTTATGATTATTTTTATTTACGTGGGTATTTATTTTACATTTACACCGTGTTCCAAGTGATTATGCAAATTATATTTTTCTCATTTACCTAAATAATTGATGTAAATAACAGTCAGCATAATTCTCATGTTATCAACTATTAAGAGTACAATTCACATTTTATTGAACAAACCTCCTAATGATAACAGGATTTTTTTAAACATAAAACACTTCCAATGCACTGTTCCAAATTATTCTGCACAGTAAGTTTCAAAACACTTTATAGGTTGTAAAGAACTGAAAATTGTCATTTGTTGTGTTTGCAGCATATTTACTGAAATCAAAAGCTATTTCAATCAAACTTTTAACAACATTTGAACTTTTTAAACATTTGAACAGGTCACGTTACATTGTAACATAGGACCCCTTATTTGATAGCAGCTTCACAAGTCTTGCATCCATTGAACTTGTGAGTTTTTGGACAGTTTCTGCTTGAATTTGTTTGCAAGATGTCAGAATAGCCTTCCAGAGCTGCTGTTTGGATGTAAACTTCCTCCCACCCTCATAGATCTTTTGCTTGAGGATGCTCCAAAGGTTCTCAATAGGATTGAGGTCAGGGGAGGATGGAGGCCACACTATGACTTTCTCTCCTTTCATCCTCATAGCAGCCATTGATGCAGAGGTATTCTTTGCAGCATGAAATGGTGCATTGTCATGCATGAAGATGATTTTATTACGGAAAGCATAGTTCTTCCTTCTGTACCAGGGAAGAAAGTGGTCAGTCATAAACTCCACATACTTTGCAGAGGTCATCTTTACACCTTCGGGGGCTCTAAAGGGGCCGACCAGCTCTGTTCCCATGATTCCGGCCCAAAACATGACTCCACCACCCCTTGCTGACATCGCAGCCTTGTTGGAACAGGGTGGCCGTCCACCAACCATCCAATACTCCATCCATCTGGACCATCCAGGGTTGCACGGCACTCATCAGTGAACAGGACTGTTTGAAAATTAGTCTTCATGTATTTTTCTGCCCAATGCAGCCGTTTCTACTTGTGAGCATTGGTTAGTGGTGGCCGAATAGAAGGTTTATGCACAGTTGCAAGACTCTGGAGGACTCTACACCTTGATGTCCGTGGGACTGCAGAGGCACCAGCAACTTCAAATATCTGTTTGCTGCTATGTAATGGTATTTTAGCAGCTGCTCTCTTGATCCGATGCATGGATCTGGCAGAAAATCTTCCTCAATGTGCCTTTATCTGCACCAACCCATCTCTGCTCTGAATCAGCCACAAATCTCTTAATAGTGCGATGATCACGCTTAAGTTTTCGTGAAATATCGAATGTTTTCATACCTCATCCAAGGCATTGAACTATTTCACTCTTTTCGGCAGCAGAGAGATCCTTTTTCTTCCCCATATTGCTTGAAAATGGTGCTCTGCTTAATAATGTGGAACACCCTCCTTTAGTAGTTTCCTTAAATTGGGCTCACCGGCCAATCTAATTAATAATTTGAAACAGAGTGTATTTATTATTATTAACATCACCCTAACAAAAATAAATAAGAAGAAAATAATAAATAAAATACCCAACCCCTAATCCTAACCCTAACCCAACCTTAACTTTAACCCCCCCTTACCCTAACAAAAAACAAAATTATAATAAATTATTAATATTAATAATAAGAAGAAGAAGAATTAAAAAAAAGAAAGAAAAGCTGATGGAAAAGCTGAAGCAGAAACACCTAGCAATGAATGACGTAACAGATGATATTTTTCTCTATTGGTAATAAAAATACCCCAAAGCTCAAAAAGGGCTAAAAACGCTGTATGCAAATATGCATAAAACGTGCAAACATTGCAGTAAAATATGCTGACACGCTGAAAAAACGCTACGCTCAGATGTGAATGGAGCCTTAGTGGTTACAACTTTAGATTTAGGAGGTCTAGTGTAGTGCTAGAATTACTGCCCATGACCTGACTTTGTGGTGATACCTCACATGTGTGGGATGATCGCTGTTTGCATGTGTGCGGGTCCGATACGCGTGTGGGCGCACTTAACATTTTTTTCCTTAAAATATTTATTTTTATTTTTACACTGTCGTTTAAAAAAAAAAAAAAGAATGTAAACATCCCTTGGGACAGCAATAGGCCTGTGACAGGTACTCTTTATGGAGAGATCTGGGGTCAATAAGACCCCAAATCCCTCCTCTGCACCTAAAAAGCATTCAAAACACCACCAAGATCGATGTTTGGAATGTGTTTGAGTCTTTATCAATGGTGCTGGGTTATTATAGCGCAGAGCTGATCAAAGCTGATTCCAGCTTTTTGTTCGGCTCACCGACCAGACCGGAGGACACACAGGTCTCCTGGTGGGATGGGAGTTCCCGAAAAAGCTGTCCCCTCCCGCTGCTAGTAACAGCGATCAAATTGTTCTCCAATTGTTCGTTGAAGAGAGCTGACTGCTGGCTCTAAAAAAACCTGGCAACTGCCATTTCCAGAGGGAATTTAGCAATGGCAGTTTGTATACTCAAATTCTTATGAAACAGTTGCTGTAATGAAGATAAGCACAAGGTGGCACTATGGACACACACATTCCAGGAAAAAGATTTAAAGTGCTGCTATGGAAAAGCTTCTAAAGAAGTCTAAAGCGAACCAGATGCCGAAGAAATGTATTCACCGTGCCAGTGGACTCTGAAATCTGCAGTTTAATTACATGCGCAAATGTTGCTGTAAATTAAAATTGCAAAATCATTAACTGTATTGCTATGTAATGTGCTGCAAAATGTTATGAGCTGTAAATCCTTTGAGACTACTACAACATGGCTTGGAAATACACCTACACATCATGACCAGGGTGCAAAACAAAGGTTCTGAAGAGCATTCTGTGGTGGGTCGCTTTTGGCAGTGGTGCACCTGAGAGGCATTCAGGAGACAATACTGCCCCCTCCAGATTACCTACATTTTTTTTTTTTTTAGGTTCCTGAATGACAATACCATGCTGCAACCAAGACCCTACCATTTGGCTCACTGTTGTGGTGAACTCTTTTTCACTTTTTAAGCTTCTCAAAAAACATCTTCAAGAAATGCAGAAGTCGCTTTAGAGAAGCTCAAAAAACATCGTCAAGAACCGAAGAACTGGCTTGGAGAAGCTAAAAAACATCTTCAATATTACAGAAGTCCAGTTCAATGTGACTGCTACTAACCTTTGTTACATTAACCACCAATTCTTCCTGTCCACAAGCTCTGGTCAACACATTTGGGCTGATTTAAGGAACTTCATTCCACCAAGCACCTTTTTTTTCCCTCAAAACTGGTTTCTTAAGCCTGTTACACATGGTAAGTTGTGCTGGGATGAACGAAAAAAAAAAAAACTGAGGAGGTCTCTGTACTTATGATGCAATGTTAGTATAGCGATCTCCCCGCTGTGCTATTGTGTTCTGATGGGGACTGCCCGACCCCCCCCACCAGAACACACCGGTCAGCACTCGCAGCCATTGGCTGAGAGTGCTGATTGGATGCTGGTTTTCCAGCAAGCCCATTCGACAGAAGCCTGCCATGAGCTCTGCTTCTGTCAAACAAGAACCTGTGCACACGAGCTGAATGTTGGCCGGTCCCTATTGTAACCGGCTGATTTTGGCCGGTGTGTGTATGGGGCTTTATTGTAAAACCTCAAAAGTCTTTAATGAGAAAAGTAAATTTGTACTTTTGAAATCCCCAAAAAACATCTACAGTATCTGTCTAAATGTCTAAAATATCATCTAATCAGAGGTGTAGCTTGAAGTTTGTGGTCCCCAGTGCAAAAGTTGAACTGGTGCCCTCCCGCTACCATTCACCAATTCCACCATGCGCCAAGATGCTCCCAGCGTGCCAAGATACTCCAGGTGGCTAAAGAGTTACTTCAGATCTTTATTTAAATATATATTTTTTTGCACTACATTGTTTATTAGCGGAACACAAAATAATGAAGAACATTTCTAAATGTTACATGTAAAAGATAAAACAGTATTGAGGTAATACATAAAGCTTGGTATGTGAATGAGGCCTTGGGGCTCATTTACATGGGAGCTTGTGGCTGGAGCTGTGTGCAGGCAGCCTATGTTATGCTATGGAGACACAGTAACTGTACGAACACAGCTGCAGGTCCCTAGTTTGACAAGTGTGTGGATCAGGGGTGGACTGACCATTTGGAAACTTGGGCACTGCCCGAGGGCCCAGGGGCAGTAGGGGGCCCCATGAGATGCCCCTGCTACCTTTTTCATAGGCTTTTTTTGAGTTTGGGCAAGGACACAGGGGCCCTATGATCCCCTATTGCCCGGGGGGCCCCATGAGTTGTCAGTCCGCCCCTGGTGTGGATGCATGTGTATGGCCCCAAACACAGACAATGAAAGTTCAGGACCATTCACCCACACCTGTACACCGGTCAAATTAGGACCTGTGGGGCTGTGTTCGTACAGCCTCTATGTCCCCATAGAGCAGGGGTGTCAAACTGGCGGCCCTCCAGCTGTTGTGAAACTACAAGTCCCATCATGTCTCTGCTTTGGGAGTCATGTTTGTAACTGTCAATCTTGCAATGCCACATGGGCAGAGGCGGACTGACCATTTGGAAACTCGGGCACTGCCCGAGGGCCCGGGGTCAGTAGGGGGCCCCATGAGATGCCCCTGGTACCTTTTTCATAGGCTTTTTTGAGTTTGGGCAAGGACACAGGGGCCCCATGATTCCCTATTGCCCGGGGGCCCCATGAGTTGTCAGTCCGCCCCTGCTCATGGGACTTGTAGTTTGGCAACAACTGGAGGGCCGCCAGTTTGACGTCCGTGCTATAGAGTAACCGGCCGCCAAAACAAACAGTGAGAGCTGTGAAAATGTGGAATAGACTCCCTCAAGAGTTGGTTCTGGCCAGCTCAGTGGATTGCTTTAAAAAAGTCCTGGATTCTTTCTTGGATACACAGAATATAACTGGATACTAACATTTATAGGTAAAGTTGATCCAGGGAATATCCGATTGCCTCTCGGGGGATCAGGGAGGAATTTTTTCCCTGCAGGAGCAAATTGGATCATGCTTTGCTGGGTTTTTTTGCCTTCCTCTGGATCAACTATGGGTATAGGATTATAACTTTTTTTTTTTATGTGGTTGAACTAGATGGACTTTTGTCTTTTTTTCAGCCAGACTAACTATGTAACAAACCACTCATTCACATTGTATTTCGAAAGAGAACTAATGTAAATGGCTCCTACATTTTTTTTTTTTATTTTGTACATTTAAACATTTTTTTTAATTTGTTGTATTTTTTTTTTTATTTTCACTTTTGAGACATTTGAAACGCATTCCCCAGTTCCTTTTTACAGCCTCAGCTGCACAGAATGAATGAACACGAAGAGATCTACGCATCCTTCCTGTTCATTCATAAACTGAAGCATAGTGAACACAAATATCTAAAATTTACCATTGCCCAATATGCAACCACATGGAGAGGACTTCTCAGTTTGTAAATAGCTACTGTCTCTGACGGTGATGGTGAAAATGGGCATGGTACAGGGGAATGGACAATTGGGGTGATAGGGTGTCATGGTCAGCAGAGAACACACATGGCTGTATGAGCCGAGCACAGCAAGCCATGGCAGAGAAGAGGTCCAAAAGTGCTTAAGTAAAGGCAGTCCAATGGAAACTCCATCAAGGTCATACTCTAGAAATATGTGCTTAATTTGCGGACTTTCTTACTCCGGTTATGTGTACCCAGAAGTTTATGGACTACCCTATCCTATTTATCTGTACCTAACATCAACCCCCAGCAATTTACAGACTTTTATACTCTAGTTATATGTCCCCATCAATTATAGTCATTCCCGGTTATGTGCGCCAAGAAGTTCATAGATTTTTATACTCCAGGTAATCGACTGTATATGTCCAAAAGCTGTAAAGACCTCTCCAAATTATGGAGTTCACGTAATTTAGGGAAGGATGCTGTTAATGCTGCATCATTCAAAGACATATTAGACAATGATGTTCTTTCAACGTGAGATAAAGTTCCTTTTCTAGTCCAATATGACTGTGCCTCTTTGCACAAAGCCAGCTCTATAAAGACATAATTTTATGAGTTTGGTGAGGGAACTTGACCTCAACCTGAATGAACACATTTGGGATGAGTTGGGATGCCAGGTCTTCTTATCCAACATCAGTTCCTGACCTCACTAATACTCTTTTGGCTGAATGGACACAAATGCCTACAGGTACCTTCCAAAATCTTGTGAAATGTCTTCATAGAAGAGTGGAGGATATTATAGCTGCAAAGGGAAGCCAACTCCATATTAATGGCCATGAATTTGGAATGCGATGTCCAACAAGATCTTATAGGTATAAAGGTCAGGTGTCTACAAACCTATGGTGGTATAGTGTATGTATACCAACCAGGATTGTCAAACTTAGACCTTTAAAGACTATTAACTTCCAGTTCTATGTTCCCAGCAAGTTTATTAATATTGTATAAAAGTACAGTGCTTATATATATTATACCCTTGTACACCCTTTTAATGAACTTATGTTGCCTAAAATAGTGGTAACCATTTATACCATCATTTATCTTGGATATGGAGTTCAATTTTGGGCACCGGTTTAAAAAAAGAACAAGAGAGAGAGTTCAGAGAGGAATGGAGAAATACCTCTTACATTGGTGATCAGTAGAGAAATGCCCCCTTACATTGGTCTTAGTAGGGAAATACCCCTTACATTGGTGTTCAGTGTAAAAATGCCCCCTTACATTGGTCTTTAGTGGGGAAATGCCCCTTACATTGGTATTCAGTGGAGAAATACCCCCTTACATTGGTTCTAACAGGGAAATATCCCCTTACATTGGTGCTCAATTGACAAATGCTCAGTTACGAAATGCCCCCATACATGGCTGGTCAGTGGAAAATGTTCTCCTTGCATTGGCAGCCAGCGGAGAAATGCCCCTTACATTGGTTCCCAGTGGGTAATATCCTCTTACATTGGTGTTCAGTGGAGAAATGTCCCCTTACATTGGTGGTCAGTGGAGAAAAGCCCTCTTGCATTGGCCTTCAGTGGGGAAATACCCCTTACATTGGTACGCAGTGGAGAAATGCCCCCTACATTGGTTCTCAGTGGAGAAATAACCCCTTCCATTGGTGTTCAATGGACAAAGGTTCCCTTATTTATATTGGTGCTCAGTATCAATGCCCCCTTACATTGGTGTACCATGGAGAAATGCCCTCTTACATTGGTGTGCAGTGGAGAAATGCCCCTTTGTATTGGTCTTCATTGGAGAAATGCTCCTTGCATTGGTCTTCAGTGGAGAAATGCCCCCTCACATTGGTGTTCAGTGGGGAAATACCCCTTACATTGGTGTTCAGTGGAGAAATGCCCCCTTACATTGGTCTTCAGTGGGGAAATACCCCTCACATTGGTATTCAGTGGAGAAATGCCCCCTTACATTGGTTCTAAGAGGGAAATACCCCCTTGCATTTGTGCTCAATTGACAAATTGTCTTAGTTACGAAAATTCCCCCATACATGGTTGTTCAGTGGAAAATTTTCTCCTTGCATTGGCGGCCAGCGGAGAAATGCCCTTTACATTGGTTCCCAGTGGGTAATATCCTCTTACATTGGTGTTCAGTGGAGAAATACCCCTTACATTGGAGTTCAGTTTGGAGAAATGTACTCTCGCATTGGTCTTCAGTGGGGAAAATACCCCTTACCTTGGTACTCAGTGGAGAAAAGCCCCCTACATTGATTCTCAGTGGAGAAATAACCCCTTCCATTGGTGTCCAATGGACAAAGGTTCCCTTATTTATATTGGTGCTCAGAATCAATGGCCCCTTATATTGGTGTACCATGGAGAAATGTTTGTCAGTGGGGAAATACCCCTTCCATTGGTGCTCAATGGACAAATGCTCCCTTATGTTGGTGCTCAGTATAAATGTCCCTTTTACATTGGTGGTCAGTGGAGAAATGTCCCCTTACATTGATGTCTACTTAAGAAATTACCCCTTATAATGGGGAATTGCACCCTTACATTTGTGGTCAGTGGGAGAAATGCCCTTTACATTGATGTTCAGTGGAGAAAGTACCCCCTTCCATCGGTCTTCAGTGGAGAAATGCCCCTTTACATTGATGTTCAGTGGAGAAGTACCCCCTTCCATCGGTCTTCAGTGGAGAAATGCCCTTTAAATTGATGTTCAGTGGAGAAGTACCCCCTTCCATTGGTCTTCAGTGGAGAAATGCCCTTTACATTGATGTTCAGTGGGAGAACCCTCCTTGCACCCCATCGGTTTTTCAGTGGAGAAATGCCCTTTACATTGATGTTCAGTGGAAAAGTCCCCCTTCCATCGGTCTTCAGTGGAGAAATGCCCTTTACATTGATGTTCAGTGGAGAAGTACCCTCTTCCATCGGTCTTCAGTGGAGAAATGCCCCCTTACATTGGTGGTCATTGGAGAAGTCCCCCTTCCATTGGTCTTCAGTGGAAAAATGCCCTTTACATTGATGTTCAGTGGAGAAGTACCCCGTTCCATCGGTCTTCAGTGGAGAAATGCCCTTACATTGATGTTCAGTGGAGAAGTACCCCCTTCCATCGGTCTTCAGTGGAGAAATGCCCTTTACATCGATGTTCAGTGGAGAAGTACCCCCTTCCATTGGTCTTCAGTGGAGAAATGCCCTTACATTGATGTTCAGTGGAGAAGTACCCTCTTCCATCGGTCTTCAGTGGAGAAATGCCCCCTTACATTGATGTTCAGTGGAGAAGTACCCCCTTCCATCGGTCTTCAGTGGAGAAATGCCCTTTACATCGATGTTCAGTGGAGAAGTACCCCCTTCCATTGGTCTTCAGTGGAGAAATGCCCTTACATTGATGTTCAGTGGAGAAGTACCCTCTTCCATCGGTCTTCAGTGGAGAAATGCCCCCTTACATTGGTGGTCATTGGAGAAGTCCCCCTTCCATTGGTCTTCAGTGGAGAAATGCCCTTTACATCAATGTTCAGTGGAGAAGTACCCCCTTCCATCGGTCTTCAGTGGAGAAATGCCCCCTTACATTGGTGGTCATTGGAGAAGTCCCCCCTTGTATTGGTGGTTACATTGCAATGTTACAGGGTAGTGGAGAAGTGACCCCTTATATTGGATGTCAGTTGGGAAATTGCCCCCTTATATCAGTGGTCGTTGTAAAAGTCCCTTTGACATTGCCGTAGGAAGCCCTAGTTACCCCGGGAGGAACCTTGTTATAAAAGCAGGACCCCTGGATCTCCCCCAACTCCCCCAAGCGTAGCCAGGCCTGCAGAGGTACGTTTCTCATTGTACAGCATGTTGCTCATTCCTGATATGCTGTAGAATGGAGGGAGGGAGCGGACAGAAAGGCTCATTCCTGATATGCTGTAGAATGGAGGGAATGAGCGGACAGAAAGGCTCATTCCTGATATGCTGTAGAATGGAGGGATGAGCGGACAGAAAGGCTCATTCCTGATATGCTGTAGGAGGGATGAGCGGACAGAAGGGCTCATACATGAATGAAATGGCACAATGTATCATTCTTCACACACAATAAACACACCGTTGATCCTTTAACTCTCCTTTTATACTCCTGCTGCCTCCACACCCTTTTCAAAAATGGCATTTACTGTCCTACGGCATTACACGCCTTTTTATCAGTTTTTTTTCATTCAAGGCTGCCGTTTAATGTCACTCAGACTATGACAAGGGAACGCGGGGTGAGACGGATGGCCTCTGTACGTACGTGAGATGAG